GTTTGCAACATTGTGCAATTTTCGGGAGCGACTTTCGGCAACAAAGTTGCAAATCCAGAACGCGTTTGCAACATTGTGCAATATTCGCGAGCGAGTTGCGGCAACACTGTTGCAAACTCGATAACATGTTTACCACAATGTGCATTCGAAAATAATAGGAGTTCACGATGTTACAAGCGAGAGTGACACTTGTAACAATGTTACATTCAAGCGTAGTGCTTGTAATGATGTTTGCGTTCGAAATAACGCTTCTAATAATGTTGCAATCAGAAATAGAGGTTCCAATAATGTTTGCGTTCAAATATAATGCTTCAAGCAATATTGCATTCAAAAATAATGCGTACATCAATGTTTTGCATTCGAAATAGTGCCTCCATCGATGTTGCATTCGAGAATAGAGACTGCAACAGTTTGTGCATTCAAGTTTCAAAGGTGAACAGTGAAATAAAAGTATCTTGCTACTTAAAAATCACCGTTCAACGATATAAAAGTTCTTTTCCTGCTACTGCAACCGTGATCCACCACTCGATCAATTTGCAACCTCAACTCACATGGGAACAAAGGCTCCGCGCAAACAAAATGTCATTATACATTCTCAACATATTTCTCCACCCCTATAAATAACCCCAGTACATTTAGTTGCATGGGAATTCATTAGAAAGCCATGAAATTATTGAAAAACTGTAAACGTATATAAACGTAAACGGCATCATTCCCTACATCACGTACTAAAATTGTTAATAACTAATTATTGAGAGGGTTTAGAGCACTAAAAACTATATGGGAAAGTTGCTGAAGGTCCACACTTCATTTTTCAATTCTAAAAGTTCACAAAATAATCGTAATTATGGAGTTATTAATGATTTTTCACCGACCGACTGAATCTGGAGCCTGATTGGCGAAGCTCAGCGGCCCGTCAGCCAATGGGAAACGTTTTCTCTCTATCCTTGTCGCACACTAGTGTGTTCCTTGTCTAATACCTCTGTTCACATTCTGTGTTCCTATTAAAAAATCGTAGTTCGCGTTACCAGACGCGAGATGGCATTAATTTCAATTTGAAATTTTCTGTGCTTGTCTATACATATTCCTTTCCTTGTCTAACACGCGATATTATTTCTATCCTTGTCTACCGCTATTCCTTTCCTTGGTCTTACTCATTTTTATATTGGTAAATACTTACCTGGACGAGTTATAATCTGTAGTAAACACGACTAAATATATTGACTTGTTTGAATAGAACTGTTCATGATATTTTGACAGCAATAGAACGCAGGCATGTGATGAATCATTTACCAATAAACAATTACTGTTACTTTCTTTTTTATACTTTCATAATTACGTTTAACTACGTTTGCAATCTTATTCTGTGCTGAATCTGTAACTTTGGAAGCAACATAAAAGTGGTAAGAGAGCTCTAGAGCCCTGGTGACGTGGTAAAAAAAAATGTATTGTGTGACAGATCTATTCTGTACCTCGTCTGTGGTTCTACTTTATTTATATAGTCTCTTACATAGTGTTATTTACATACTCCGTTATTGATGAATGATATAAAGGTATGCCTCTTAAAGATTGCGAAGTAGCATCCTGAATTTGTACTACAACATAATCGCCGCTCTTTATCGGTCTTTTCTCATCTGAATACTTTTCAATAGGTATCGTTACGGAGGGAATTACTACGCGCGTATTACCGTCGTTTCTTCCTTTAAGAGATTCATTTGAACGCTTGGTGACCTAAAATTAAATTATTATACATTTTACTAGTACTCTGATTTTAATGAAATTACATCTTAGTAAATTACAAAATCGCCTTACCCCTTCTACGAGCACAAGTTGCAATTGTCCAATCTGTAATTTATTCAATTTTTCCATCTCAGCTCTGTGTATGACAGTCATTCTTTCCAATCGATTTAGTTTCACACTCTGTTCTACATCATCTTGGTAGCGACGATGTGCGGTAGTTTTCTGGAATCGATAACAAATATTAAAATGTTTAATATATATTACAACATAAGAATTTTGTCGCATGACAATTACCTCTCGCATGCTGTAGCAAAAGAGGAAAGCTTGATTATATTTTACTAATTCTATCATTGATAATGTATCCTGAAATTCCTCCTCTGTTTCTCCACAAAATCCAGCAATAACGTCAGTAGAGAGACAAACGTTCGGCAGAATTTCACGTATATGATTCACCAAATCTATATATGCTTCTCTGGTGTATCCTCTTCTCATCCTTTCCAAGACCGCAGAATTGCCACTTTGAAAAGGTAAATGAATTGCCTTACAAATATTAGGTCTTTCTGCTATCAAATGTAAAACTTCGTCCGGAAAATCTTTAGGATGCGGCGATATGAATCTGTAAATGCCCTTTACTTTATTTGATAATAATTATTTTCAAACAAAAAAACCTCATTACCTAATTCTCATCTCCGGATTTATCTGAGAAACCTCATCGAGCAAATCACAAAATCGACGACCTCCCTTTTTTCTTTTATATACTGTTTTGAAACCTTTAACTAAGTGTGTTTCTATATCATTAGGCATATAAAATTCCGACTGCGACAGATCTCTGTAACTATTTACATTCTGCCCAAGAAGCACCACTTCCTTCACACCATCATCAGACAAAGATTGAACTTCTTTGACTATACTTTCAATTGGTCTTGATCTTTCTCTTCCTCTTGTAAATGGTACAATGCAATATGTGCACATATTGTCACAACCACGCATTATTGTACTAGAAAAATGTTTGACGAAAATTACAATGATGATTAACATAGCAATTGAAAATCATATGTTATAAAATAAGAAATGTAACAAATTACACAAATGCACTAGGAGAGTTTGGATTCAATCTCACTGGTGTTATATCTGCATATGTTTCATCAAATGATAAAACAACATTAATAGCAGTTTCATCATCTGGTACAGACAACAGCCTTGGTAAATCTTTGTAACTATCTGGTCCAGCTATTACATCAACAAGTTTTCCCCTTTCTAATATTTTATCTTTTAATCTTTCTGCCATGCATCCTAATAAGAATAAATTCACTGTAAAGTTAACTTACTATAAACCAATCATTTATCAATTGATAGCCATACCTAACAAACCAATTTTTATAGATTTGTTCTTTTTCCTTCTAAAATGATTTAAGTTACTTAACTTATTCCATATTTTTTGTTCTACCTTGTCACGAATAGAACATGTAACTAGCAGAATAATATCAGCTTTTTTTAGATTTGTCTCTTTCTTATAACCATGAGATTTTAGGATGGACCAAATTACCTCGGTATCATTTACATTCATTTGACAGCCATGAACTTCAAAATATACTGAAATAAATAAAGTAATTTAATGAATAAGAAAATAAAATATATTTTACATGTAAAATAAATACATCATTACAATTAGCACCATATTTTTATTTACCCTTTTGATTACAGCCATCAATATTTTTTATGTAGGGAATATTTGGCACACTAATAGAATCAATTGGAATTTCAGTTTTAGGTACCAAAAAGTCTTTAAGTGATGGTCCATTTTTTGATAAATCCCTGAAATGCTTCAAGTCACTAGTTTTTTTATCAGTTTCTTTAGAAATTTCCAATTGAGTATCATGTGTATGTATTGCTTGATGTTGTTGAAAATTATAAGGAGTTACACTATTGCATGGAGTAAACTTTTTAATATGCCACTTGTTTAATAAAATCTGATAACTCTTAGAGGATTTAATTTTTTTAAGTGAATTTAATATATTTCCATTCATAGTGTTAATAGTTATAATAGTATACTGAACACAATACAAACACAATTACAAATATGTATGGACTGTGGAAAAATTAATTAACACAAACGAGCATTAATTCGAGTAATTTTTACCAATTGATATTGGTATTAAAATTGTCAATACACTGAAGATAATTATTCTTTTCTTCTAAGATTTAATAATTCGAAGATACATTTATAGATAGGTTATGTAAAATGGAACAATTGCAAAAAATTATTTACAATATATATTATTGGAAACTATTTTGGATACGCTAATCACAAAAACAATATTAGTTAAATTGTATGTAAACATTTTTATTTCTTTGACTTATAATAAAAAATTAGTAGCGCTATGGTTGAAAAAACCAAACCACATGTTTGAACGTCAGTGGTTCTCAATCTCTTAATAAGATCTTTTGTTTTGACTGTACGTTCTACTTAACATCGACTACTTTTTATTTAACATTATTTTAAAATGGATTTAAGGTCAGCATTTTTCAAATGAAAGGAAAGAAAATATTTTTTCCACATATATTTTATTAATATGTATTACAAAAATTTAATGATGTGCAGCTGCTTTCCTCATTTGGACAAGGATGTTTCCAAGTTCTTCACGTTTCCTCTTAGCTCTGATGTGTGTACCCAACTACAAAATGACTGAAAATACTATTTGTCTGAAATACATGACATCTTAGATAAAGTAATTTATTGATATGCTTACCCTCCTCTTCAAGAATTTCAAAGCACGTTTGTCCTTGGAAACTTTCAACAATTCCATAGCACGCTTCTCATATGGTGCATGTCCTGTTACCTCACGGATTAAATCTCTAACAAACTTACTATGTTTAGTTTGTCTCTATAATTATAAAATTTACTAAAATTAATGATTAATTTTTTACTACATCTATATTCTAAAAACTTCAAAAAAGTTATAAAATATACATGTAACTAAAGTGTATAAATTAGTACATGAACACAACATTAGTGTTTTGTCAATAATGTAAACTTACTCCTTTCAACCTTGCTGGCAAAACGCACACCGTCTTTTTCTTTTCATTTTTATTTTTTGCCACACGGATTTTGGTCGTTTTGTGGCCTCTATTGAGACCGACTGCTAATTCGTACCTCGGAGCCATCCTGGAAAAATACCA